ATTAATAATCCAGAGGATTATTGACTTAATGAAGGCATGTGGAGATTAATAATCCAGAGGATTATTGACTTAATGAAGGCATGTGGAGATTAATAATCCAGAGGATTATTGATTTAATGAAGGCATGTGGAGATTATTAATCCAGAGGATTATTGACTTAATGAAGGCATGTGGAGATTAATAATCCAGAGGATTATTGACTTAATGAAGGCATGTGGAGATTATTAATCCAGAGGATTATTGACTTAATGAAGGCATGTGGAGATTAATAATCCAGAGGAGCTGTGAAAGGAACCAAGGCATGGCTGGGAGTTCTGGTACCAAGATGAAGAATGAACAGACATTCAGGAAGGAGCTCATAAAAATAAAATAATCCCTTTAAACCAGGAGGACAGAAGGAGCAGCAGCTTCTGTCTGATCTGATCTTTAATCGAGGATTTTAACGATCAGATTAAGTTCTCCAGAAAATCCATAAAAGAATGAAAAAATGCGTGAAGGTTGAGTCCGTGGTTGTTGCTGTGAGGCTCAATCAGAGCTCAGCGCTGATCTCCGGTCAGGCCCCGCCTCTTCATGTTAGACCCCGCCCATCACCTGCTCCTGAGGCTCCTCCCCCTCCATAGGTCGGCCTGGAAAGAAAACAGCTGCTGGTTCCGCTGAGGTCAAACATGCAGAATGCGGTGGTGGAGGGCGATGACCTCACCTGCCCGCTGCTGATGGCGCTGTGTGACGTCACCGCGATCATCATCCGGGGGCCAGCGGAGCTCCCCGCTCTCCACATCACCTGAGTCTGTCGGCTCCACCACGATGGAAGGGAGCCGCCTGGAGAGTTTTGGAGCACGGTCCTTTGATTCTGGAAACACCTGGAGAGCAGAACCAGGAGAGGGCCAATCAGGACGCAGCTCCTGAGGGTCTCACCTGTTGGGTGGAGGAGGAGTTCACCTTCTTCCAGAGGAAACGCCCCTTTTTAGATCAAACGGTCCCTCAGATCTTTGGGAAGATTTCTAAAAAGTTCATCCACAAAAAATAAATCCTAGAATCTGTCAAATGAATTAA